AACGGTTAATTTTTGTTCTACGAGACAAAATACTTGTCAATGTCGTCATGGCTAGAAGATTTTCGTTGACATTTTGAATGTTAGTAAAACTTAACCATAAAGTTGTTGCCAAGATAACTATAAATTCAGTGGCACACTGAAGAAGAAAGGTCCACTTTTCGAAATCGCTCGGGTTATAATGTTTTTATTAATTTCTATCATAACTTCTTGAATCTACGCGTTTTTCTAATATCATAGATAAAAGTAGGATGCAGCTCTACAAATCAACTGTGAAGTTAGATAAATGTCAAAATAATCAACGCCATCTTCAAACAGTATCATTTTTAAATGTTTGATTTATTTCATAATGATAGACATTTCGAAGACTGAAGTTGTCCAAAGACAGAGCTCACGTGAAAAAAAAAAAATGGATGCACAGTGGGAAAAATTACCCTAAACTACGCAAAACTGCAGAAGTAGACCTACATAAGGTTCGATACATATTAAAAGATGATGAACTGGAAATAAACGAGTCCATTTCTGCAAATATACCTTACGGTGAGACAACTTTCACTGTAAATATTTATTTCTTTATTGACACTTATAAGCAAAATTCCTATCTTATAGGTCCTTGCCCTTTTGACAAGACACGTCTTCATTGTTAGAATTGACATTGAACCCACTAGAAAAATCCAGTACGCATGAACGTCTCTTTTCTGCCATTTGAAAATTGTTTAGTTAGATTGAGTCGGAGGTTTACTTCTAAATTAAAAAATCAGAAGTTACATTAAAATAATTAGGTTGATTCACAAATTGCGAAGTTGCAAGGTTGCCCTTTAAAAACACATTTCTATATTTATATTCGAAATATCCATCATGTATATATATTCTATAAAATGTTGAGCATAAGAAACTTAGCAGTATACTAATGTAAGTAATGAATATTTCTGTTTGTTTGTTTGTTATGAATTTCGCGCAAAGCTTCACCAGGGCTATCTGCGCTAGCCATCCCTAATTGAACAGTGAAAGACTAGAGAAAAGGTAGCTAGTCATCACCACCCACCGCCAACTCTTGGACTACTCATTTACTAACAAACAATGGGATTGACCGTCAAATTACGACGACCCCACAGCTGAAAGGGCAACATGTATGGGGGCGGGAATTCGAATCCGTGACCCGCTGATTGCGAGTCGAGCGCCTTAACTACCCGGCTGACACATTTTTATCAAAAGTATTTCAAAAACGTCAGCATCCAAATCTTTAACCTGAGTACTAAAACAGACTGACAAAACATCAGAATACTGACTATTTCTTTGTCAGTTTTTAAACGGTTAATAAGATTTAAAGATCTTCTTTGAAAGATTTTCATGAAGCTCTTCCATTATTTTTTTTTCAAGTCAATTTTACAAAGGTATCAATACATGTTTATCGTATTATTTAGTGCCATAACAATTCTTTCTGGACAATCTTTGCACTTTCGCTTTCTTAAATAAAATTATATATTGTACATCAACATCTAAAAGAAGTTTCTGAAAATATTTTGCTATTGATAAAATTGTTATTATAGAACAGCGCCATCTATTCTTGCAAAAGAAAGTTATGCCCAAAGCTACACAATGGGCTATCTGTGCTCTGCCCACCACGAGTATCAAAACCCAGTTTCTAGCGTTGTAAGTCCGCTGTGCCACTTGGGGCATCTTGCAAAAGAAATTATTCAAGTTTGATAATAGTACAATAATTGAAATAGTAAGGGCATTATATTGCATTGAAATAAATAAAAAAGGAAAAAGTAACTTCTGGTATACATTTAGCATTCAATAAGGAGTCATATTAATTAAACTATCAAAGGGAGACTCTTCAAAATTTTTCATCAACAATATTTATTTATTACTCTGAGATTAAAAATCTAAATTATTCTATTGTTGTCAGTTGTTATTGACAAACGTTTATTTAATTCACTGTAAAGCGAAGTACACAACAGAAAAACACAATAACATCATACAAGATCCCAAAATAGCAAGTCCTATAGAAAAAAACAATGTTTGGACGACTATTAACACTCATTGTGATGCTCCAGAGATGGAATAAAACAAAATCTGCTACTATACTCTATGTACTGTGACTTCATTAACAATTTTTGTAATTCAAACATAAAGTTTACAATGATGAGCCAAGTACAGCACTCTCAATGGAATTAGCGAGGTAATAATGTACATTTGATAAACATTATTCAAAACTTTGGCAGTGAATGGCTTTATACAGCTAATTTTTGATGTAGGAGACAAAATACTTGTCGAAGTTGTCAGGATAAAGACAATTTCGTTGACACTTTAAAGCTTAGTAAAACTTAACCATAAAGTTGTTCCCATGGTAGCTTTATAAGTAGGATGCAGCTCTGCAAATCAATTATGAAGAAGTTGGATATTTGTTAAAAAGTATCATATGAAAGGTATTTTTTCACGTTACCAACAACTACTGTAAAACTAGGAATTAAAAACCTTGTTTCATATTGCTTTTACAATATTATGATACAAACAAGCATCAAACATATTTTCTATGGTACTACTTATCTTCCTGTCTAAAAAAAGCAAATCCTAAAATACTCAGTTAAAAGATTTCTCCTGACTTAAGTGCATCAGTATCTGCTCGATTTACTGGGTTTTTTTAAACAATCCTCAAACAAAATACAAGACAAATGCTTTACATTTGAATAGTTACAACAAAAATCTCAGTACTTACACAAATTATGAGAAGAAAAATATTTTTTATATCAAATTATTATTCAGAAACATTTATGAAACAACAACAACAACATATTTACATATTTATTCAAAATTATACTTCATTTATTATGTTTGGTCATTCAATGTATTGAATCATACTTAATATCCAAACTTGAGTGATCTGATCAACAATTCCATAAAAACCCTAAAATAACATGGTGAGAAAAATATATATAAAAATTTCAATATATCACATACTTTTGCTTATTCAGAAGTTATGCAGGAGCATAGGAATACCACCCTCATTAGTAACCTTGGGCTAGATCAAAACAGAGATGTAGATCAAACCTTATTCAAAGGGATGTGTTAAGTTCTATTAATCCAGTCCACTCACTGGAAAACCATTCTTTAAACACACATATATATGGAAAAGAAAACTTAAATAAATCTTCCAGATAATACACTATTTGTTTGTTTTAGAGCAAAGCCACATTGGGTTTTCTACTGCATCCACCATGGGGAATTGAAACCAAGATTTTAATGTTATACATCCATAGGCTTACTGCAGTCCTACAGGAGAACCCAAATAATAAAGACCTGTTAAAAAGAGAGTAGAATTAATAGTGCATGGTAGTTCAAGTGCACCATTATCTTTAAAATACCTGTCAGCCATGCACTACCAATATCTTTGTGCCTGTTCCCAAAACTGTTCATGCTTGAATACTGTGTTGGCATATTTTCATTAGCCCAGTCGACCCACCACAATTATAAAAGATATTCTGAGGTTAATACTGGTCATGCTTGAATTTCTAAGAATTATCATTGGCTGTCGTAGTAGTCTATCTACAATCCTGGCCAATGAAAAAACTTCTTATTACTCCTAAACATTTCATACCTAAGGCTGGTTAGCAGCAGATACAAGCCACAAAAAAGGGGAAAATTTAGTGTTTTTTTAATTCATTTAATCTTCAGTCAAAAAAAGTGAAGTTTTATAGAGTTCAACTTTTTTAATTCTACATTCATTACATATGAATTTTATTTTACTTAATTGTGATAATCAGTAATTCTTATTTCAAATGTGTAGAATTGAAACAATTTAAGATCATTTCTGACCATTTTCAAAAGGGATAAATGTAATTATGTTTAAAGAAGGTTTACTGTTTAACTAAAATAATTTCTCTTTTTTTGTTTGGCTTTTAGTATTTTCTTGAAACATTTATAATCACAATGAGGTAAAAATATTAATTTCATACTACCATATTTTAAACCAAGGAGATCTCAAAACCATCCAACTTTCAGGACCATAACTTGCTCTTGTACCCAATTAATTTTTACCATCATGAGTACAGACAATTTTATTGAGTCACCCTAGGCTCCTGTTGATTAACAATATTTCTGCCTATCCTCTGATCACCTACAACATAATAAGGTATCTATACTAAGAAGAAAATTACCATAATGTCAGCTATAAAACTTTATAAGTTTTAAAATAAATAAAACTAACATTTTGATAAGGGCTTGATCCTTGTTACTTTGCTTAGGTGTAGTTCAAGACTACTAATGAGGAGTAGAGTTATCAAAGACCAGTCTAAATCAAATTAAATCTTCACTTCAACATCTTTTCTTTTTTACCACTAGTAAAAAGTAATAATTTTTGCAGACAGCAATGTCTAGTTAAAAGAAAATAATTAACTGTTAGCAGAATAATTGTATGTTTTCTGAACTCCTCTATTATAATAGTGTATGTAGTTACAAAAAAAAAAGAGATACTAAAATACCATAGTTAAGTAGGACATAAATATTACATACAGTACCTATTAACAACAACATATTGTAACAATGATAACACAGGAACAGTGAAAACCTTTCTAACAGTTACAACTGTGCATTGAATGTTGAAACTTGCACTTAAAGTTTTTTATTAATGTTAAAACAACACTTCTAAAAGACAAAATGAACATCATCTCATTGGAGTTTTAAGTCATTTTTACTTCACCATACAGTATATATATAAAAAAACATCATCTTGTAGGATCAGTGCTAAATCTATGCTACAATGAAATATTCTTCATATTTACAATAGCGTACGATGTTTCAACAAGGTTTTGTCATCATCAGACATCTATATAAAGAGGATGCATAGAGCACTGTATCAACAGTATTTTACATATTTGACATTCTGTAAAATAAGATGATGATGACAAAACCTTGTCGAAATGTTGTACATTTGCTGTTATGTTAAACTTATATTAAAGTTTTTCTTCAGTACCTATTCAAGCCATCTCCAATTTGCTGTTATGTTAAATTTATGTTAAAGTTTTTCTTCATTACCCATTCAAGCCGTCTCCAGCCATTATTAGTCTCAAAGTGGGTTCCTTATCATCGAATTCTTCATATTTATCATGAAGTGCTTTTTATTGTCTAGCCAAAATATTAGTCATTCCTCCTACTTCAAACTGCAGTTAACTGTAATGCAATCTTAATTTTGTTGAACATTTCTGCTATTCATAATAATCCAAAATTTTTCCTTTTTCATATGAGAAAGTGATTATTTCTGCCTTCTTATTTTACAGAATGTCAAATATGTAAAATACTGTTGATACAGTGCTCTATGCATCCTCTTTATATAGAAAATTTATTCATATCAGAATACATAATCAGAATTTACACAAAAATGTCAAGCCTGCACTTACATTCCGAATTCTATAATAGACATCTACAAGGTCTTTAAGACCATGTAACTGTTAAGGAAGCCTTACCTGGTAATATAGCACCAGTGATGGATAAATGCTAAAAGTACATTATCACATGGCAGTGTGGATCTCCACTCATAATATAGGTGTAATATCAAATTCGCATTTTTATATCAATTAACTTCTTACAACCACAGAGAACTGGATTAATGTAAGTTTCATGAACTTAAGTTCTACACATGTTCATTTATCTTGATAAAAGAGTTCTGAATAAATTCCATGGTGTTCCTTATAAAGCCTTCAGATATTCCAAAGGTTCAATTCTCATATTATGTCGTGATACATCTTTTTTAAAACTTTCTCTAGTTACATTACAAAAGGATATAAAGATGCAGCTAACTCCACCAACACATGAAGTCAACCTATGATCCTGTCTGTTAATAGTATTGATGAACTGTATAGAAGCACAAAAGAACAGAAGTAGCAGTAATGGCTTATAAGAAAAACGAATTACATCTTTGAGATTCACACCAGAAAATAATAATAATACTTCTTGAGTAGTGAAAAATAACAAATACTGATTTTTCACAGGGTAAAGTATTTCATGTAAAAATAAAGACAGACTAAATCTGGAATGGGCTGAATGGACACAACTTGGAAACCTCTTTTAGCTGCACTGCTGATTCCACTACTACTACTATTGTAAAACAATTTCTTTTAGAAACTGAAGTTGTTTTTAATGAATATGTTGTCCATGATCTATCTCTGCAATCATCTAAATGCAGCATTAAATAAATCATTAATAAAAATATAATCAATTAAAATAATATGCACATTTTTCTCTTTAGAAAGAAAATAATTAATTATGTGACCTTTACAACATTTTAGTTATGTTTCAAGTGAAACATGGTTATTAAGTGCATGTAATCAGCTTTCTTCACTGCCTTCATTCTCACTAACAGATGGCTGTCCAAAGTTTTTTGCTATGGTACTGGTTAGAGAGCGTATATTTTCAACACTTGCATCATCAAAATAATCTGGGTCAGCATCGATAGTTGGGTCAAGGTGGAAAATATCATCATCACTTGTAATGCCTGGACGATAGTTATCATATTCTGAGTCATACATGACGTTCATTGAGTCAATACTCAATACTTGATCACTGTCAAGCATATGGCTACTTGCTTGTGAGGACACACTAGTGTCATCTGTATCTCCATCATGTCCAGGATCATTGAAAATTGAATTTAGGTCACTAAGAGCACCTTCTGCATCTGTAAGGCCCTGCTCATTCATGACAGAGATATTTTCTAAGGCTGGATCATCTGTACAATACCCCTGTTCATCTATCAGAGGAAGTTCAGCTAAACGGTCATCATCATAATCTTCTTCCCTGTCACTATAATCCAAATCAATATCTTCAGATTCTGATGCCAAATCTTGCTGCTTCTTAGAAAATTGTTGCTGTGGTCTGTTGTCCCTGCTGATTGGAGTGACAGTGTCAATATTTACATACTCTGGTTCACTGAGATCTTCCTTTTGAGTAGAATAATGACTGGGAAGCTTATTTTCTTCATAATCTAATGCCATAAAATTCAAGTTTTGTGTAATTTTCCTTCCTCTCAAAGTGTCATTTTCTTCATGCTGAGACTTCAATTGCTTCAAACAGGTAGATGGAGATGGTATGCTTAAGGTCATTTTCTTTTCAACAGGATTAAAATGAAGACCAATAAGATTTTTTCTTTCCTGCAAAGAAATATCACTACTTTGTTGCTTTCCAGGTTCTTTGACTTCTTGTCTTGTGGTTATAGAGTTATAATTAAGCTTATCTTTTAAAAGTTGTTTTCCTGATCCTCCCCTTTTTTGTCCTTGAGGAAGATTTGCCTCACCAAACTCTGCAAGAACCTCATTTACCTTCTGGAGTTCCTGAAGAGGTATGCCAACTATATCTGGTGTCTTTTTCCAAATACCTATAGAAGATGGTACTTGGACGTTTGAATCATCTTGTTTTGTTGTTTGAACTTTGTGGTTCTGCTTCTTTCTTTCATCACATCTAGAGTTTAATTCTTGTTTCCAAGTTCTAGAGCACACTTTTGAAGGAAATTTCAGTCCTAAATGTTTTCTTGGGAAATCAGTTTGTGTAGATACAGAGTCTTGTTTTGAAGAAGTTTTAAATAAAGCTGATTTATCATAATCATTTCCATTTTGTTTGTTTTTAGAAGCTTCTTTTGTGAGATTCTGTCTCTGGGGAAGGTCAGCTGGTCCAATGTTAGCACTAGATACTGACCTTCCAGATGATAAACTTTGTAAAAGTGAAGTGTTGTATCCCTTAGGTGGATAACTTCTCAGATGAGCCTCATCCATCCTTTTCCCTTGAATTTTAGCAAAATAATTACCAATTTTTGGCATTTTGAGTAATGCTTCATCAGTATTATCTTCCAACTTGCGTGTAACAAGTTGATCATTCCTTTCAGCATTCGGTATTTTTGTCATAAAAGATTCATGTGATGGTGATTGACCAACTTCAGGAAGGTTTTTGTCTTCTTTAGAGAGAATACTTTCTCTTGAGGAGAAAATACTTGGTTTAGGAATCTCTTTGGATTGACAGGGAGAATTTTCAACAATAGAACCCTGAAGAGGGTATACCCATAACATATTAGAAGAAGCAAGATGCCTGAAAGCAGGAGATGGAGATGGTGTCTCTATACCTGATGTTGTAAAGCCTGTCTGAGTAAAACTTTCACTAGATGTTGATGATGATCGATTCAGTGATGATGTTTCCACTGAAGAAGGCTGAACAGATGACTGGTCTTGATCAAGAAGACTATCTGAACTATGTTTGAATATACTTATATTTAAAGATTGTGCATTAAACATTGGTGAATCCTTCATCTGTATCAAATCTTGCTCACCTTCTGGAGAAATTGGAGGTGGGGGAGGAAATACCAATGTCTCCTGAGGGGAAATGGAGGATTTTGATGGTTTTGAATCAGAGTAGCTTTTGGGTGGAGTTTCACTTCTGCAACTCATTGACTTTGGTATACTGCAAGAAGGAGGAGGTACACTGTTTCCTAGCTGTCGAAGGCTATCCCATGGGTCACCTCTTTTAATTGATGCTTGTTTCTGGGAGCTAGGAGTTGTGTCTCGAGACTCAGAACGAGGTTGGCGAGGTCGGGATTGTGAGTAAGATTTTGGTGGTGTATTACCAATGATTGGTTTGGGTTGAGAATAGGGTGGCGTACATTCATGCAAATTCAGCTCAGAAGGTTCACTGGATAACTGAGTGTCACAAGGAAGTAACCTGAAAACAGGAAGTCTTGGACTATCAGACATAATCACATCATGAGGTTTCATCTGTTGATAACCTTGTGATTTTCTTATTTGTGGTGTATTTGAGACACTGTTGGATCTAGAACCAACTATTTCTGCAGCCTGACGGAGACTTTGAGCAACCATACTGAGAGGTGTCGGTACTCCCCCAGGAATACCAGTACTTGAACCAGGCATAGTGAGCTCATTATAACCTGGAGATTGCTGACTCGGGTTTCCATCCTCTTGTGACTTTTTATCCACCAGAAAATAGGTTGTCATTTCTCCTTTACCCTTTATAGTAACCTGTCCTCGGCACTGAAAGATGTATGGATAGTTCTTCAAAAGTTGAAATACCTCTTCTGTAACCTAAAATAATGAAACAACTTTTCAACAAAAATAATTCAATGGAGCAGAGTTTCAACTCTTTCAAGATAAATTCATAATTGCATTATAAGTTTTAACATCTATTTCTCTAATATTCTTTTTAGAATTACTGATAGCATAATAGAAATTCACACAAGTGCACCTAAAAAATAGTTTTTAATGTTCTAAAGTGAATGTAATTTATTAACATGTGTAATTACTGGAACCTAAAACTATTTAAATTATTCTCTTCATGTTTCTGGATTATTGTATTCTCATGTGTCCATATTTCCAGTCGTAGGAACAATTCAACTTTAAACTCATTGAAAGTGAACTTCCACACCAAATGGCATGAACCACCAATAAAACATTATGTGTGACTTTTAACACCAACCTGTGTGTGGTTTGGGAGTCCTGTGCTATCCATACGACTGGCTACATTCACAGTATTACCCCAGATATCATACTGTGGTTTTCTTGCACCAATTACACCTGCTACAACTGGTCCAACACTTAAACCTAGAAAACAAAGTAAAAATCACAGAATTGGAGGTACATTCATTAAATGCTGCTTACTATTTGAGTGTTAAAAATATAAGTAACGATAGTGCACCAATTTTAAAGAGGTAGCTACATTTTATAATTTTTTCAGTTTTTTTTAGAAATTAAGTGAATTTAAAACAGATACTTACCTCTGAAATACAAAAAGTGTTCTTGTTGAGTTGCTCTCATGCTGTCAAAAAACATGTGACTAAAACTCTGAATGTCCTTCGTGTAATGCAGAGTATGTGTCAACTTACCCATTGTTCTCCACTTTTCCACCATCCATGTCATTTATTGCACTTAGTGCTTCTAAGTTTTGCTTTCTAAATATACTTCAGAGTTCAGAGTTTTAATCACAGTGGAAATCTCATTTCTCTCAATTGTAGATGGGTATGTATTTCAGAGGTCAGTACCTGTTTAAAATAAATTTTAACTCTAAAAAAATGTAAAATTCAAATCAGACAGATTTACCTCTCAAATGTGAAAGCTAGCATACCCACAATGAGATGAAGTCATAAGGAGTACTTGATCATCAAATTGTTGTTCTTGGGCAGAAATATAACAACTTACACCAAAATAACAGAAATCATAATCAAACAGAGATGAAGAGAATCCAGAAGAATAGTAGATTCTATGGACTGGATTCAAGGGAGAATAAGTGAAACAGACTAGGCTCATAAGAGTTTGGACCAAATAAGGACTCTCATTAAAGCAGACCTCCTTGCCTTCATTTCCCCTTTAAATATATTAATGTGTTATCCTGTACCTCTAGTAGAAGATTCTCAGTAAATCAGACAAATAAGAGCTAATGACTAGGCATTCTCTTGAGTGTAAGACACCTGACATCAACATTTGACGAGACCTGCCAAGTCATAAAACTAGCCTAGTCAGTGAACACCCAGGGAGAATCAGACAAACTCAAGAATGAGCTTGACAATTGTGAAATAGTGCAATGAAAACACTGAACAGGTTAAAATATAAAATAATAAGGTATCACCCATACTGGTTGGAGCTATGAGACATCCCATGAATAACAGTTGATCTCACTTGAGGGATATGTAGGAGGAGATAGAAAAAATACAGGTACCAGCCAAGGCACCAATAGCCACCAGATGGCATCCTCTGTCCACTTCCAGGGGGCATTATCCTCTCACGAAGAATTAGCACAGAGAGTGAAATTGGTCTAGGACAAACATAGAGGCATAGTTAAAGCATGAGAGTCCCTACTGGATAAATTCCTTCAAACATGGAGTAGTCTCATTTGTATTGAAAGTCCACATTTGTTTATTTATTTAATGAATCCACAACTCCAAACACCAAATGAAATGTTAAATATAAAAGGTGTTGGCAATATATTGATACTTATGCTATCATGCACAATGTAAGTTTAGACTCAAGTGGTAACAAGGCAGATAATAAAGAATAACTCACCTACTAAGGATTCCTTCTGGCTTGAAGAATCACAGAGGCAAAGAAAATATTGAAGCTAAAAATACAGCAATTTGATGTAATTAAAAATTGAAGAATGAATTCAAATTAATCCATATGCCAGCCTATAGAATATCCTCTAAAAGGATACTGTGGCCGAGTTCACAGACATCGTCAAGTGGCGTATTAAGTGAAATGTAACTTGAAATCCATGTGTAAGACATTCAGGAGCATCCCAAAAAATAAGATAGGTAAATTGCACAAGCTTATTTGTTAAATAGTTGGAGCAAAATCCAAAGAGTGTGATTCATTGTAGGTATAAACAACTCTCTCCAAGACCCTCGGAAAGATTCAGCACAGGCAAGATAGTAATGAATAGTTCTTCTGAACATTAATTCATATATCAATAATGATATGTAACAAAATAAGCAAAATATAGTGTTTTATGTACAAAAGCACAATCAGAGCACAAGTATAATGCTTTCTGAGAAAATAAGGTATGAAAGGCATAGATATCAGAACTCTGTCCAATGCCAGTACTAAAATAAAATACAATTTCAGGGAAAGATGACCCAATAAAGAATTTACTAAGGTTTCAATAGGGGAGAAGCCAAATAATTTAATATTGAATTCTATTTGGGACAATGACTAGGAACTTGGAGCTGCTGAGGCAGAATGACTCAGAAGAGCTATTTAAATAGTGATGACGAAAGGGACTGATGGCTCCCATGGCATCTGAAAATAGCAGAAAATGTATCTTTGTAACTGGCTTTGAAAAACGTTGATTATGAAACAAATACATAAAGAAAGAATCAACTTGTTGAGAAGCTGGAGAAAAACAAGATATACCACAGTTAATATACTAACTATGAAAGATAACCCAATGACATTGACAAACAGCCAAAGAAGAGTTTTTACAAAAATGGTCTAATATTTGAGCCATGCAGGAAGAAAATCAAGCTTTTCAGACAAAGGACCAAACAACAGCTAACTGTCATATACATTGAACATTGTTGTGAAAAATGAGCATTTGAGATTGTTGTAATGAGATCTCTTGCTTGTGAGAAATTTAATGTAATAAAGGAAGCTAAGACTTAGCAGACCAAAGTGAACCAATAAGGAAAACCTAGCAACTAGAGTAACTGATCTTGGCCATGACTTGAGGGAGAAGTGAAGTGAAAGGTAGTTATAATGGAAAAGGTTCTCCCCAGATTGATTCAGGGCATCCACTGCCAGAGAATGTGGATCTGGAATTGAAGATAGTTAGAGTGGAGGAATATGGTTACTTGATGTAGCAAAGGCAATGATCATCAGGTTATTCAGATGCTTGCAAATCCACTGAGAAGCCAATAGGTGAAGGGCCCCATCTGTTGGAATGCATTGAAAATGAAGCTAAAGAAGAAGAGAAACTGGAAGAATGCATACCTCCCTGACTGTGAGCAAATACAATAGAGTTGTTTGTATGAAATAACACAGAACAGTGATAAAGAAGAAGCATGCATGTTGAAAAGACCAGAGTTCTAATACTTTGATGCAACTGTTGCTTCTTGAGGAGTCTGAAAACAAGAACAATATTGATTCTCCAACACAGCACACTAACCTTTGGGAGAAGCATCAGCAAAAAGAGGAAAGTCAAAATGATGTTGTAGAAAGGGAGTTCCTGCTGTTGTAAACTCTTAATTTAACCAAAACTGGAGAAACATGAGAGTGATAATAGAAGGAGCGATACTACGTGATAATGAGTCTAAAGCAGATGCCACTGAGAAGTTAGGTCTCATTGTAGGTGACATATACAAGTGTGCCCCAAGGGAATGACTTTGTGAAGTCTTTGGCAACAGTTGTAGAAGTCAAGAAAAGAGTATGAACACAAGACTCCAAAGTTTAGAAAGAGATATCTGTACTATTCCTTGAACCATGTTGATCCAAAATCCCAGATGTACCCAAAACTGTGTTGGTACTAAATGGAATTTGGAGTCATGGATGATCCTCCTAAAAGAAGTAGCCAGTTGGGTGGTCAAATGAATGTGTGTGTGAGAGATTGATGAATGAAAGGGTCAGAATGAGCCAATTGTACATGGAAATGTAAGAGTCAATGTTGGTTTAAAGGAGAAGATCACTTTGAATACTCGACAGAAAACATGTGCAGCTGAGTCCAAGCCAAAGGGAAGGGCAGAGAACTGATACTACCTCTCAATGGTAAAAACTGAGAAAATTATGAGACAATCAATGATAATGTATAAGATAAGCATCCCGTATATCTACCTTTATCATCCAATGTCTTTGAAAAAGAAACTTTTGTTAGAAATTCATGTTTACCATTTCAAAATGAGGTGTATCCAGGTAAAGGCTGACTTGAGACAGGTCTATGAATTGTTTCCAATCTCTTGTTTTCTTAAGAACTACAAAAAGATGGAAGTAAAAACCTAGGAAGGCATGATAAAAGATTTCTAATAATTCTTTCTGAAGAAGATGTGAGACTTCCTAATCCAGAAATTGTAAATAAACAGGATGAGAAGGAATAAGAAGAAACACTGGTTGAACTGAAAGAAGAGGAGGATGTGAAAAGTGAAGGTAAAGACCAAACTTAATGGTCTGTCAAACCAAGGATCACAAAGACAATGGTCCAACAGATCAGCAAGTAACCAAAATGATCCCTCAAAAGGTAAGGCAGGAGGATGAACATTGTTCCCAGGTTGCCTTGACAAGAAATGATGAATAGAAGAATAATGAGATTCTAAAACCCTCTTCAACTACAGCTGACATGCTTCACCTGATTGGGAAACCAATTTGGATGAAATATCTGCAAAGAACAATGTGTAGGAAAGAAGATATCAAGTTCACCTGGAATGTTGAAAGGCAAGTACATTGCAGTATAGCCTTATCAATTGAAGTGTCAAAGAAACAGTATTGGTGAGGCCTGCACTTAATGAAGACTGCAAGGTAAATATTTTACTCTGGCAAAAAAATCTAATAACTCTACAGAAGCAGAGTTTCAAAACAAGACAAATCACAGTGTACAAGGCAAAAAAAAAACTGATGAAGGATTAAAGTAGAACAACACATGGTAGATCTGCCCTCCCAATAAACAATCTGAAGATTAAAAGCTTGAGAAGTAATTAATATTTTACTGGCTTTTAAAGGCATCAGCATCAACATGAATATCAAAAGAGGATGGAAAAAATAAATTTTGAAGTATTACATCATTTAATGTGACACTAGCACCCACAGGTGTAAAAGATAGATGTTGTTTAAAATCATGTGAAAACAAAGGATGTTTTGGAACTTGAGCATCCACACAATCATGAAACCTACCAGGGATAAGAGCAAACAAACTAGCATTAAAGACCCAAATACATTGATCAATAAGGGCTTACAATACAACCATGGATCACCCTGCATGTTAAAGGCAGATTGCATGAGTAAGGCCTCAAAAAAGTTGTAGAAGTTCTGATATTGTTGGAAATAATTGCATCAGAATCAACACTGGTGTCCAAATTCATTATATCAAAGGTGACAGCACTACTGTCAACAAGAAAATCTTATTAATCATAGTGGAAAGTACAACTTATATACATCCTCCTGTCACATGGAAGGTGGGAGAATACACATACTCTGTATTGCAACAAGTGCAATCAGGACTTTAGTCATATGTATGTTACTTCTATCAGAGCAATTCAACAACAAAAGGCTTGTTATATATATTAGAGGTAAGTCTGATTGTTTTAAAACTTTTAATTCATTAAAATAAAATGTCTATAAACATATATATATACTTTAAGCTTAATACCAATTTTTTCAATCTTTGGTATTTTACGAGCAAATTTTAGGTTGGATTTAATATTTTAATGGAATGCATTTGAAAGTTATTACTTTCACACTAAAAATCACATAAATCATCATTGTACTACAAAAGAGAATTTGCCATGACATATTATTTTACTACAATACTGGCATATAAAAAAAGTTTTCAATGCAATGAACAATATTCTTTTTCAATTCCATGTTTAAATACTTTTTTTATATTTGAATAAATAAATAAAAACCTCTCTCACTGATCTACCAAGTACAGAACTCAAGGAGTCAAACACTCAATCACTATTCTTGGGAAATCCTACAGTTAATCGCTGCACTTAAGAAAAAAAACACACAAAAAAAACCTTTCATTGTACTCAAATAAACAACCAGGTACTGTTTTTCAATAACATCTTCCCATAACTACCTCAGCAACAAATCATTAAACTGAAGAATTTTAAAACTCAGTCAATGACAAATTTTAAATACAATTAATAAAAAAGTACCAAACAGGGTAATCTAAAAACAAACAGTATTTAAACATTAGAATCAATAATCTAATAGAAGTTTATATTAGAACTAAAATTATTTCTAAAATATTAAAATTGCTTCTACATGGTTTATGTTTGGTATAAGTTGAATTATATCAATTAATACTGAAAGATATTCCTACACCTCATATTCAGGCCATAGTTACTTCTATTACACTACACTGCTTTTATGCAAAAATATTTTTGTCCAAGAAAAAATAAAATAAGATTCTTCTGAATTTCAGAAGTAAAAATATATGTCAAAGCATTTCTTTCAATAAATGACTACATGCAACACTAGTTGTTCAAAACTGAAGGAGCTTGTTTTTAAGATCATTATAAGTTGTACGCCAATACAGAAGGTTACATAGAAACAAACTAGTGAATATTTCAATCTATGAGGGACATCATTCTAAAATGGTGTAACAAAACTGTATGTAGAAGAGCATACCTTCGGAGGTTAAATTTCAGAAGCACAAAAAAGCACTAAAACAGAAAATTAAGGTGTCTGAATGAACAAGAAATTCCTTCTTTGCACTACAAAGAAAAATAATGTTATGTTCCACAATAATAAGATTATGTGAGGTTAGAGGCAGTACTTAATTGACAAAGCTACTACTCAAGTTGTGACACATCCATATAATGAATGCTTTGAATTAAGTGAAAAGATGTGAAAAGAAAAATCCTAGTCAGATTTGGACACATAAAAAGTTACAAAACATGCAAGTCATCTCTCCAAAGAAAGATTATTTTGTTTGTTTGTTTTGAATTTCTTGCAAAGCTACACGAGGGCTATGTGTGCTAGCCATCCATAATTTAGCAGTGAAAGACTAGAAGGAAGGCAGCTAGTCATCACCACCCACCACCAACTCTTGGGCTACTCTTTTGCCAATGAATAATGGGATTGACTGTCACATTATAATGCTAATGTCCCCACAGCTGAAAGAGTGAGCATGTTTGGTGGGATGGGGATTCGAACCTGAAACCAGCAGATTGTGAGTTGAGTGCCCTAACCACCTGGCCATGCCAAACCCAAAAGAAATAATTTCTTAGTAGTTTAAAAAGGAAGCAACCATATGATGAAATTAGTACAGCTTAATGAATTGTAGGAAAAATATACAAGCTCTTAAAGTAGTGTGAAAACTCCAGAGAATGATATTATTCAATGTGTAAATTATAGAATATGGAGCAAGATGAAATAAAATGGGAAAAAAGTTCTGTGAAGATTAATGAAAAGGATGATCATATGACAATTAATATTCTGAACTTGTAAACAAACTTTAACCCTAAAGTTAACTACTACTGTACTCTCCATGTATTATGAGTCATCTTAAAATAATCCACCCAGAATCAAATAACAGTGAAATGATCACTTACCTACTCGTAGCATGAAATTGTTATAAGAATTTTGATTAATATTGGCCAGTCTTTCTTTCATAGCAAAGACCAAATCAACTAAAGTAGACAAGCACTGAGCTCCCGTGACATGGTTATCTTCCTACCAAGACAATATTAAGCAATGATTACTCTAAGAAACGGTTAACATATACAAGAAATAGTTGTATACAACTATCTTATACAAACACTGATTCAATAAATGGTTATTATACAGGATAATTCACATACTAATGAAAATATATAATTATTTTTCTAAAAATAGAATACCAAAATAATATACATTTCTCACTGATACTTTTATAAGGCATATTAATAATGTGTACAATATACAAATTGCAGTGTATAGAAAACAACACATGGCTGAGCTTAAAAAGTTACTTGCATAAACTAACTGGATCAATGTGGCAAGTAATAGAAACTTTAATAGTTGTAAAAGTTTTAAAAAGGTGAAAAAGTTCATCTTAAACTGCATAGTTTTTCAAAAGTTTCCTTTAATCTGTATTAGAGAGATAATTTAGGAACATCAACAATCTACAACAGTAACATAATGTAAGAACATTAAAAATTATATTAAAATTCTTTCATCTCTAGAAAAGATTACATTCCAGTCTACTGTAGTGATTTTTTAAACACATGTCACTGAATTTTTTTCTGAAAACTAATTATATTATTAAAAAAATAAGTCCACTAATATACTAAATACTGTGCCAAAAACAGATTCTAGATATTAATGTTTAGTCCTTTCATTAGTTCCAAAGCCTTATGTTGCTAACTGTAACAAAATATTACCTAAGTTTATGTAATGTTTACTGATAAACCCACTTTTAGCCAATTTTATTGCATAAGAATGTATATAGTTGAAAAGCTTTTCATGTGGCACAGAAAAGTTTTTTTTTTCCTGTTTTTAAAAATTACTCACACAACATAAAAATAAGATAGCAACTAAAATTAAACAATAGACCCTGTACCATGACAAGCTGTTAAGATTAACACTATAAAGTTACATATGTATTTTGTTGAGGAAAATAAATCAGCCAGCTAATAAAGAGAGATTTTGTTCCCTGAGATAAATGGATATATTCTTGTCTCAGGGAAAAAAAAAGTGTTTGAACTATTCAGTACCAAAATATGGACATCTTTAAACTGTTTACAGACTAATTACCTACATCTAGATTAATAAAGGATAATACTGATAAAAAATGCTACTTTTATATTGATTTTAATTATTGTGAAAATATTTTGTTAAATTCCTCATTCTGTATTTACTACAGCCAGCTTACATATAAATTTATATATATTTATATGTACATACTAAAGATGCTTAAATGTTTTATTGGAGTCCAGCTAAAGACTTCTAAAAAATTACATTATGTGAACAGACATAAGCAGAAAAGCATAATATGACCTTCCACCTTTCAGTTTTACACTACCGTGTACCTTGATAACTACATAAGTTGGAAGTGTGTGTGTATTACTTTAATTTAAAGTATCTAGAAGTTATATATAAGAACACTTTCCAGTATGTATATACAGTCTTTTTCTTTCCAATGTTCCAGTACTTATAGATTGACTAACTGTTGCCACCAGACTAGCAATTATGATGAACATTGGGTTGCCTATGTTTGCCAGGAACTTAAAAGTTGTAATATAGACATGGAAGGCCAGAGGAGTGCTTAGCATCAAAGCAACTTTCATATAAAAAAAGATCAACATTGAGCCAACAACCCTATATAAAACATTATTTCTTAGGTTGCATGTCTGTTTTTTGTATCAACTTATACATGTAGATTTAGGACCAGAGAGTGAAAATTGAATGTTTTTATGTGAAATGTACTATACTTACATAAGTTACATGAGGCTACATATGGCTGTCTCAAATTTTCTCAACATTGAAAGCATGATTAACAAATAGAAAAGCTAATCAAGTACATTGAAACATTTTTGACCCACATATTTCCTTATACAATAAAACCTCATAAACCAAGAACTTGTTGTATAAAAGTAGATTTTAAAAAGTAAATTACGTGGGAACAGTACTTACAGAAATACGGTATTCAGGTATCAGTCCAACTGCTGCCATATAAGTACTTCCTATAGTTTTAATTTTATCAATCATGCAAAACCTATCTTCATCCAAAAGCTGCAAAAAATATGAATAACCAATTTATTAAATATATTCTTAATTCAAGTTTATATTAAAAGCAACAGTACTTTTAAAAATTTGTTTAAAGACGTAAAAAAAGAAAACAATAACACTCCTAATAAACACTTAATACCACTGCATCTATGATTAATGTAATTAATATATATTTCTCAATATATAGTTGATATGATGATTCTATAAATTATCACTTTACCAGTTAAAAATCATGCCAATCATTTTGCTAAGTTATAATCAATGCATGAAAAGCAGAAGAGATTGGTCTCATACAAACCTCAACTTTACATATCTTTATGTGTACATTTTTCCAGCTAATAAATATTACTTCCTTAAATTTAACAATAATGTATTTGATTTAACCTTCTGCTTGTGATTTAGATTGTCATCAGTCTTTCTAAATTTATTATTATGATTTAAAACAACCAATATATAATAATAATAACACGAGTATTTCCTTTATCAACTTTCATTAAAGAAGAATGAAGAAGTCAATAATTGTAAAGTTTTTAAAGCTACTCTTTTCTGGCTGATATTCTATCTTGATGTTCTATTATTATTATTATATTCTATTATAAAACATTCACTTTAATTGAAAATTCATTAATAATATGGCAAACGCTTCAGTTTTTGCAAGAAAAAAAATTTATTTACATAACTTAGTCTTAACTCTTTCACTTATGTCTGAGTTATGATGATATTCATTAATATTTGAATCATGTTTCTCAAACAGGACATCACCAATGCCTTACCCTCTCCAAATATTTATTAAAGGTTTGTAGATGATGTGTAGGTTCTGGTTTTGACAGCTTGGAAAAACATACACCATTCTTCTAGTGCATTATATCTAAATACTGAATTACTGTTGAACTAGTCAGAGGTTAAAATTTAAATCTTTTACATCTTAGTTTCAGTCATTGTACTTCTACAAATCTTATAACATCTGTTTATCAGATTGATTTTTACTGATAAATATGTGAAATGAAAGTTTGCACATAACACAAATCAAAAATTTAACTTTAAAGAATTTAATATATGGAGTTAAGCAAACTCTGTTCACTAAATAAACCTGAAACCAAGAAAAAAGTTGCCAGACAGCATTACTATGAACAACTATCCAAAAACAAATAGTAGAGAATAAGGAGCAGTGTCTCAAAGTTCTACTTCTTCAAAATACAGTAATAATACTGAAAAACATATAAGACCAGTTAGGAAGAAAATAAAAGTATCTAACACATATCATTTAGCATCAAATAATTGGAACAAAAATAAGTGAAGTAAAGAAAAACTGCTAGTTTAAAATATCAACCATCAATTAAACCTGAAATTAAGGTAAAAATATTTTTTAGTAAAGTATATAATTACCAACACTGAAGTAATGTAATCCACCAAATTACTTGTGATAATTACCAGCCATTTTACACATGCAAAATTTTTTTGAAATCTAATCAAGAAAATAACAGCAAAATCCTCTCATGTTAGCAAACATTGTTCTAGATTGAATAACACGTTTAATCCAAACCATGTAAAAAACAAAAAAAATCAAACATAAATAGTAAAATAATTATTGAGGATTTGTTTATTAAACAGAAACATCCTATCATGGAAAAATACCCCAGCATCCCTCAGTGCACAAAAGAAGCCACTGTGATTGCCCATATGAGAGGTATAAATTAGTTAGTGTTAGTTATTTGTATATACCTGAGGAAACTTGATTTTATAGCATAATTGTCATAATGTTCAGTGATAAAACAATGTTTTCCCAAACAATCTAGAGATCATACACCATTCATAAAAGTCCATAAAAATGACACGACAAACAGGATACATAATTTAATCTTGTAATTGTGAAATACTGAATTATCACTCTTTTCAATAACAAAATATATTCATTATAGCTGCTTAAAAGGTTTTATGTACTTACCTCATCAAAGTCCACAATTATTTCATTCAAAAGTCTCAAGCATTCTACACCTTGATTATTAGCATTAAGTTCTATGTAGAATTCATGAAAATTTGGGATAGTAGCAAACATCACTCCTACTTTACTGTATGACTGATGATACAAGTCCTGTTAAAAGATTTAGAATATTCTCTATGATGACTTAGATATTTTTAAATATACAAATATTTAATAGATTGCCTCATAATCAATTGTTCACATATAGCAGTGATAAGAAAACTAGTTTATAAATTAAGATATGCAGTTGAATATGACCACATAAAATGTTTAGAAGTCTAATAGTTTTTTTTTCATTATTCATGTCAAAACAGAATATTACAAGGTCATAAAATTGCTTACACTCAGCCAACTTGATCAGAAACTAAACTAACTGAGAAAAATTTAAGCTGAAAGAAGTTCCAATGAGAAATGAAAGCTTCAAAACAAAAACAGATGAAAATATCACATAAAAATGTACATTTCTTTAGTATTTTCTAATACTTCATTAAAAATATTCATAGATCCAAGTAACACAAGATTTAATAAGAATATTTACCTTACGATATTTTAAGGTCAGTATTATTTACTATGTGTGTGTGTGTGTGTGTGTGTGTGTATATATATATATATATATAATTTTGTAGAGAAGGAAAAATAAATGAAAAAAATATATTTAAAAACGTAAAAATGCAGCCACTAAACAAACATCCAATACCAGAACCCAAATCATTATGTAATGTGCCCTAATTTCATGAAGTACCAGTGGAAGTAAGGCCCACCTTGTATTAGGGGTACTCCTTCTATTCAGTTTAACCTTAAGACTGCCAGCCTCACATACTTAAAACAAAAAGAGAAAAGGAGCAGATGTAGGTACTCAAATATTAATATTTTCCTGCTTTGAAAATATATTTCCAATATCTACTTACCTATCATGCAGTTACAGCTATTTTCAACTTGACTGCTCTCTACTGTGCACTTTTTTTGCTCGACACTAGCCTTGAAACTCCCACCTAACTCCATGTGTACAGCAGATAATTCAGCTGCTTTACTGCATGCAACAATCCTCCATCAATAGGAATGCAATACACTCTCCTATCACAGCTGACTCCCTCTATGCAGTTAAACCAGTTCTTCACTTCAAGATTAGATACAAAAAAAAATCAACACCAGAAGTGGGAGGAGGAAGATGGGTGGGTGGGAAGTATGAGAGGAGGTGAGTATCCATCAGAAATATATTTTCAATGTAGGAAAATATTAACTTCTCATACAATCACTCACCTCCACCCACAGTTACAGTTAGAATCCCACATAGATCAAATGGAGGAACCAGTGTAAAGGTGCATAGATGAGTACCCTTCAAAAGCATCTGAAGAGCACCCACAGAGTGTGTCTTCATCGTGTAAAGGAAATACACTTGTGGGAGACTGCACCACATCTGAACCAGGTATACTCATTGCCCATGTGGAGCCAATAAGTGTCACAAAAAAGGGTACAACAAGATATCAATTCCAAATCCAAAGGAAGTGGAATATGTTTAGAGTGGCTAGGGTATGTTGGACTGTAATTGGAAGGTCAACTCCAGTCCAGACCAGTGCTACTGGGAGTGACCTTAGGCCTAGGAATCAGAATCTAAACCATCATGTACACAAATCCAGCACCACCTGCAGTAATAAACCCCAGGAATGTACATCTGGTTGAAAACAGGAAGGTGGAAATGCAAAGTGGGGGTCAATTCTATTCCAAAACCAAATTGCATTGGGAATGAAACATCCAGTCTGTAGTAGGAGGAAGATCCCAGCCCACACAATTGTGAAGATTAATGTTGGGTGGTCCAGCTTCAACCAAAACCTGTTGCCCAGGAACTGACATTCAGGTGGCAGCAGGAGGGAGGTTTCCAACCAGAAGAGGTGAACTGCAAATTAGACAGAAAGATTCAGTCCAGAACTGCAACATCCGGTATATAATATCAGACCAGTGGTAGGAGCATAGTCACACCTTCTACACAGGCGGAACACCACCACCCTACTTTTGACTGAATGGAAATGTGCACAATAAAGGAGGATTTCTCCATGGTCCACAATGCCAGCAGCTAGGAACTGGTAAGTGTTAAAGACTACCATATTCCACTAGAAAAGGGGGGGGAATAAAAAGCATTGTAGATTCCAGAGGAATGCACCAATAGAGAAAGTGCAATGGGTAATCACAAAACCCCATTTTGAAAAGCAGTGCATTCCTGATTCTGTCAATCCAAGGAACACCAGGGATTAGCAGTGATCCTTGTCTGCTTTACTTATGTTAGTCCATGAATGTATGGTCCAGTACAAACATAGTTATGAAGCAATATACTACAAAGATGAACCTGCGAGCAGTCTTGTGGAACACCCCATCTAAATAGTGAGCATTATAGACCTGTTAGGTCATACAGTGTGGATTCTAAGGAATAGTATAGCTGGACAGGCACTGCTCACCACAGAGCAGTATCCAAATAATGTGCAAAAAAAGGCCACTGAAAAGAAAACATTTGTAAAAATCTCTAACCCACTTACAGATAAAATTAAGAGTGTAGGATGGCAACAGGATGAAGACAATATCCAGCTGAGAAGGAAACTGCAAGTGATGGAAATAATGAGACACATACATGAGAGGAGTGGTCCACATGCTGGTCCACAATTTCCCCAAAAAAACGATGGAATTAGCAACTTTTATTTAGGCTATACCAATTAGAATAG